TATTGTAATTTTTATTATTATTTATCATTTAATACTTATTGTAAGTTTGTTGTATTTAAAATTATATTCAAATACCAAATTGCTATTAGTTTGATAAAATTTAATAATTGTGTTCGCTAACTTTCTTAAGTTTGTTTCTTATTATCTCTTTTATTATAATCACATATAACACCAACATCGAATCCCGTTTTCTTGTATTGTTTTTTTATTCGTCATCAGTGGTTATCAAATGACATTAACTTTAAGTAAATGTAAATTAAACTACTAGAATTATTATTTGATAAACAACAACTACATCAGTTCCTCATCAATAGTTACTTGATGACAAAAGAAGTGGACATGTTCTTCTAGTGTGTCCTGAGTTTTTACAATTTCCATATTTTTTTCGTGTCTAGATGTTTCTCGAATATCCATATCACAATGAATTTGAGTGGATTTTGGATGACCACGCTCCCTCAATAAACTCGGATCTGGTACAATCAAAATCCAATTTCGAACCTCATTAGGGTCTTTGTCATTACCTATAGGGGGAACTCAAATTCATATACCTTAAACACTTCTAATAGTAGGTATATGAGATCTACAAAATGGTTATAGTCTTGACGGGTATGCGAGCAAGCTGCTATCACATGAGAGTATGGATACTTCAGATCTTGAAAAAACCCGCAGTCGCACCATCTGTCCTGTAGATTTACTCTTAACGACACAACTTCAATCCCTTGAAGAGATCGCGGCAACTCTGTGACAAGAAACAATTCATGCGTTCTACAAAAGCTTCTTACAGACATTCCATTTGATGCAACAATTTTTTTGTAGATCTGTAACTAATCTAGGGTGGTAGACATGACCGCCTTGCATCCATGTTTGAGTTTGTCCCCCGAGCTTTGCAAAAAGCTCCCCCAAACGAAAATATGTAGTTTTTACCAAAGTCGTTACAGGTAAGTGACGTGCACCCTTTAAGGTCGAATTGATTGCCTCAGCCAAGTTGGTCGTCATGTATCCATATCGATATCCACCATCATATGCATTTGTCCACATTTCTTTATCGATAAGGCTGATGTAATCGTATCCTTCCTCGTTCTTCTCTCGTAAATCTTGAAGCATAGATTCAAATGTTTGAGGTAGTAGTTTGTAACCTGAGCATAAAATGTATAACTTACTAACTTTGTTTCTTTAAAAATGAAAATGACCGAGAAAAAAACTACAATAGTTTCACTTACCCATGCGCACAAGTAATTGGCGCTCATCATTCTTCTTGAACCTTCCATGGTAGTTCGCAGCAATGTGTCGGATACAATACCTATGTTGGACAAAGGGTGGTTGCCACATTGGACCCAAAGACTCCATTGCTTCTTTGATCCCAGCTCCGCGATCTGAAATGACACATATTTTTTCCCTCGTGATAACATGTGAACGTAAGTTTCGGAAGAAAAAAGCCCAAGAATCTATATCTTCTCCTTCAACAAGATCAAAAGCAACTGGAAGAATTTTGCGATTACCATCTTGGACAACTGCCAATAGTAAAACTTACTTGTATTTTCCATACAAGAAAGTCTCATCGATCTGGACCACAGGTTTGCAGTATTTGACATCATTAATGCATTGTGGGTAAGTCCAAAAAACCTGGTAGAATTGGCATCGATCGCGAAGAACTCGATCATTATGGTATGCATGGGAGGTTTTGAAGTCCACAATTGTCCCAGTATTCAACGTCCGCACCACTCTAAACCAACTTGGAAGTTCATTGTAAGATGCATCCCATTCGTCGTGAAATTTTTTAATGGCATTCTGCTTTGCCTTCCATGCTTTTTTGTATGACACGGAATACCCATACTGCGATTGTATAGCTGAAATCAACACAACAATAGATATATGTGAGCTTGTTTTTACCATGAGCATAATAGCTTGGTAGATCACTTCAGAGTCCAAGTTGGGATGATCTTGGTTGATCCCTCTAGCACAACATGTGTGAGGACCGTTGTATATCGTTAGTTCTCATATATTATTTTTCCTCTTCCTCTTCGATACACGAATCATCCAATTGCATCCGTTTTCACGTCGGGCACAGTGGCATATATATTTTTCTGTCGTAGAGCGGACGACTCTGAATTTAACAAAATTACGGATATTATAATTTTTTATAGCCATTATCGCTTCTTCTTTGCTTGAAAACTCCATGCATAAAGATAACTCACCATTATTTATTAATGAGTAAAATCCATAGCCACCGAGATGAGGTATATCCGGAAATTCTGACCCATACATTACACCAAAGTCAGCTTCACACATTTGTGTTGGAGGTTCAGTTTGTGCCATATTTGAGGGAACTTTATATATATATCATCATCATCAGAGTTGAATTGCGGTGATTCTGGGTGAATGAATAGTCCAGTCTCTGCACCATCCGCACCTGGCTCACGAAGCAGTTCTTCTGGTGGAGATGATGGTTCCTTCATGCTCTCCACATTTAGGTTGAAGAACCTACTACTTGCATGTCTTCCCCTTAAACTAGAAGGCATATCGACATTGAGATCGAAAAAGCTCGCAATCGAATACCTCCCCTTGGAGCTTGAAGACATCGTGTCAAATGGAAACTGCACAGATTGTTGCGTCGAGGGCGTCTCCATATTAAGGTCAAAAAAATTGGCAGATAAATGCCTTCCCCTTGAACTGGACGCGATGTTTCCATACGGATTGTTCGTGGACCCATATCGGTAAAGATCGTAAGGAGTTGCTGATAAATGTCTCCCCATTAAAGTTAATGGGACGGTACCATGATGCGGAATTCCCATTATGGCATTAAAATCATTACACATTACTGTAGTCGGGATGTCAACTTGATCATCTTGTTCAGCTAGCCCATAGTGGGAGGTTAATGACAGACCCCAAACAACACGCACTTCAACAAACTTTACATACATCTCTGTATCGGCGTCTGAATAATTATTTTGAGAATCAACCACCATTTCAACATCATCATTGTTCGATAGTTCGAACGCTGTATAAGTAAATAGCAACAATGATGTTGGAAATCTGTACTGAAGCGGCGACATTCTTCTATTACTTCCAACATGAACCTTCATTGAAATCTTCGTTATCAGCTTCTCAAGAGTTATGTTTCTCTTGAAGGATATTTTAACATAATGATTTGATACGAAAATAACGTCGGTTTCATCTTCCCAAATTTCTCCATCATAATAAACAATAGCTAAAATTCGCGTCATTCTTAGAGTTTGAAAGTGAGACAATCTTATATCTGAAAAAAACCTGAAACAAGTCTAATTAAATAAATAATATATGAATTAAAATATAACACAATAAAATTTTTACACATAAACGTAAATAATTTAAATAATATAATTTTATATTATTACCGTATCGGCAAAAATATTTCGACATATGCTCCTGCTTTACAATTTTACAACCACAAAAATTAATTGAAAACAATTAGTCCAATATTTTTTTTTCAAATAATCATATATAATTATAAAAAAATTTATAAAAAAATTACCTTATAACGAAATATCGAACGAACTTCTGAATCAAATATAAGAGGATTGTCAGGTGTTATTTACTAGTTGAGAGGATTATTGTATTAGTTTTTCGGTTGAGAGGGAGTTGTGAGAGAGTTTACGGGGGAGATGAGTTTTTATAGCCGAGAGGAGACGCTTTAAACCCGAGAAGTGCGGAGGCAATTATGCAAGGCACGGCCCATGCACCGCGTCATTCTGAGGCATGTCATAATTGCATGAATGTGCGGCCCATGCACCGTGCTATTACCCTTATGTGGCAACGCGTCTTCCTGCAAAGGATTTTAGATCGGAAAATAAATATGAAAGGGTATCTGACATGAAAATAAAGTTTTAAACGATTTTTTTTTTTTGAAAATCGCCCTCAGTTAGACGTAAGTGTGTAAATAGTTTTTGTAATATGAATTTACAAGTGTCAAACTTAAAATGTCAACTTTATAAGAGTTGGTGAACTCCCACTGAGAAAAGATTCGTTGGGCTAAGCGTTGGGATGTAACAAATTGATGTGAAAGGAAAGGATTTGAAGAATTAAAGCAGTTTTTGGTGGGTAAATGATTGGCAATTTGCCGACTATATTGAATAAATTAAAAAGTTGAGAAGTGGAAACCACATCTTATTTACTTATTAGAACGCTTTCAAATGGAAAATATCCTCTTGCTCCATCTTAATTTTAATTTCAAAGCCCGGAAGTAGATAAATATGAAGCAGTGGCAGTTTAATAATTTTTCATCATCATTATAAAACAACTTTCCTTCTTCGGAAAACAAAACTGTCATTTGCTGTGGTCTTTTAATCTAACCATTGATATTGTTTTGTGAATCGTTGAGCAAGCAAGACACTAGTAATCGGTGATGCATGGAGAGTGTTGGAAGATATGATCGTCTTTTAAATTTTGTATAAGAATTTATGTACCAGTTTTGCCTCAACTTCGGCTTTATGTACCAGTTTTGCCTTCTTCTTTTTTTCTAACATTGATTTGACCACCTCAATTTAATTTTGTCTGGCTTTTGACAAAACCAATCTTTTGAAAAGGATCACGAAGGAATGCCCAAACAACAGACGAGTTACCGAGCTCTGCTTTATCTGTTTAATTCTCAGTTAATGCCCTTGGAAATCAGACCCCATAGTTACAAATATATGTATCCTTTGGTGGAGCCAGCCAAAGAAATAATGTCACTCTTAAGCCAAATTTTGCCGTTTATTTCGCCAGCATATGATGGTCCAAAGAAGGGTCTGAATAAAGGGACTTAACCGGCTAAAAGTTTAGTACCATTTCTAGGTAAACTGAACCCCAAGTGTCCTTGGGAAGTGTTTTGCTTCTATTAATTGATTGTGGACGGTGGACCACATATTAATTCCAATGCACCTAGGGGACCATGGTACTGTTATAGAGAGGGATAGGGGTGGAGGGGGGTCCTTGGAGTTGGACGTAATGGACTCCTGTCCTTTGATCACAAAGGGTCTCAAAGATGCCAAACCCAAGCTTTGCTAAAAGCTTGTTCAAACTACTCCATTGAATGCTTAGATGAAACAAAGAATAGAAAAATTAAAGCAAATCATGAACAAGAGTCGGTTTCTTATACGTTCTTACAGGCACAAATCAACAACGAGAATTCAACTCTATCTTCATCTTTCTGCTCCAACTTCTCCTCCAACCAAAGCCGGCTATCCAGTTCACTTCTTGTCCTAAACATGAACACGGCTGAACTGGCGGCCGGATTGAAGAACCAGTCATGCACATCCCACATCAAATCAACTAACAATCCATCGACGAATATCGTCTGGTTTCCTCTGAAATTCCATCGCAGTCTCTTGACCCAAATCACCGTCTTGTCGTCGATCCAGACCGATAAAACCGGATCCTTTAGGCCTTCATGTTCTCCGCTACATCTTATCAAAATGTCATGTGGAATGCCCGTTTCGTTGAATTGAGCCTTTGTGGAATAAAGGGTATTGCCCGAACAATGTTCTTGTCGAGAAATGAGTGAGATTTTAGCGACTGGGATTGTAGTTTTGAGCTTCTTGTTGATTTCTTCTTCAGCCATATCACCTACCATAAGGCCTATCTCTGAATCAACCATGACTATGACGTAGAATCCATGAACCGGTTCAGGTCCCGTGTTGTACTTAGCAGCTGAAAGATCCCAAAAGATTTCGATGTTTGAGTGATCCGATTCGACCGCTTTGTAGCCTTTCATCTTCCTGAAGAACCTCAAATTGGTGTTGAGTTTGAAACACGGTGAAGGGTCATCGTTGAAGTTTATGCTTAGGCTTTGACCGGCATGATTATTGCACCAAGTGAGTTTGATGAAGAACAGCTTCTGGGTTGAGAGAATGACCTTGTAAATGGCGGCGACTGCGTTCTGGACTGAAGGGACTTGGCTCGAAAAGCTGTGACGTGGTGGAGGTTGAGAAACATTCACTGCGTTTTCACTAAAACAAGAAACGATGTCTCTCATATTGCCTCTAAATAACAAAATATTAAAGATCGGACATATTAAATCAAAACTTAGTTTCTTTTGAGGGATTCATGAAAGAGAAAACAAGATCTGAAGATTTTGAGGGATGGGTCTCTCTTTTGCTATTTCGTAACCGCACACACACACACATATATATATATATATATATATATATATATATGAATATGTTAGAAAACTGGACAGGGTTGGTGCTTTTGAACTGTCTCTCCCCTGCTTTCGACATTTTTAAACAAGAATTTTATGTCATGCAAATAACTGGAAGACAGGCAGCAGCAAGGATTTCAGGTTATCTGACAATATATATATTAAATATGAATGTATGTATAATTATATGAGACAAATATATATATATATATATATATACGTGCTAAAATTTTATAATGGGATGCAAAATATTAATATAAATGCCATACGAATACTTTTTAATATATATATATATATATATACGTGCTAAAATTTTATATAAATATATGATATTTAAACCAACTTATTAACTCGTTTATTTATGTTCATGAACAAATTTGTTTACCCGAATCTTCTTTTCCTTTTATTATTTTACATTTTAAATATCGGTGAAGATAAGGATTAAATAGAACACATGATAAAAGTTGCATTTCAAAAGTATGAATTTTAAGGAGTTTAAGAATCAGTGGCGTAATTTTATCATTTTTCTTTAGCTTGCAAATGGAATTAAAAATCGAATATATTGATGAACAATAAACAAACACTAAAAAAACGCTAAAGAATATTAAATGAAAACTAGATGCACATTAAACGGATAAGTTCATGAACACGTTTGTGAACATATAAACGAACACGTTCGCGAACATTAAACGAACACGTTCGTGAACATTGAATGAACATGTTCGTGAACAATAAATAAACAAACACGAACACCTTCAAAAATAAATAAATGAACATGAACATGAACATAATATTGTAAATTTAACCAAACACAAACACCTTAAAAAATAAATAAACGAACACAAACATAATATTATTGTTCCATTCATTTAACCTTGATCCTAATAACATTTATCATCATCTGGATTATCGATCTGATCATCATTCACTAGAAATGGTCCACGGGCAATGAGCAATAAATTTATTATCTTTTCGGGTATTTTCCCTTCTAATTGTTTAGTTTTCCAGCTTTGTGAGCTTATAGTTTAAGGCATAAAATTTATTCTTCGTACACATATGATCACTCCAATTAGTACAGAATTATTTTTTCACTATCATTAACTTTTAAGGTTTATTAAAATTACAGCTTGCAGTAAAAACAACTTTCTTAATAACCTTTTTATATAATCTCTTTTTGATTTCAACATAATTCGATAAATTCTGAACCAAATATACAATAATTTATTAATTTCAAGGTATCTCATCATTTAACTTAAAATGGACCATTATAAAATCTTGTTTCAATTAGTTGTGTGTTGTTTTGTTTATTGAATTGTTCTAGTCAAATCATGTTTATGGAATCATTGAACAAATTTAGTTGGAATTAATATAGAGCTGACTACTGTTAAGTTTAGAAACAGCTCGAGCACATGGATATTGGAGCTAGCTTATAAACTTTGCTAATTGACTTTACAATTGCGTACATGCTGAAGGAAGATTTGGACGAAACCCACTTTGGTTAAACTAAGACAGCTCATGGATCAATATATGAATCTGATATATAGTTTGATACTTTCTCGGAAGAGAAAATAACCTCAGTGACCAAAAATCCCATATAATATACGATTTTAACCAACTTTTTCCGGATTTGCCAAAATGACCAACAAAATCGTAATGCGATCGCTAATTCGCAACGCGATCTCCATTATCGCAAATTCGCGTTGCATTTCGCGTTGCGATAGTTGGAAATCACGTTGCGATGGTATACAGTGTCGTTGCGATTTTCCCAATTCGCAATGCGAATAAGTAAATCGCAACGCGAATTGGGAAAATCGCAATGCGATACTTACTATCGCAATGCGATAATACAAAATCGCAACGAGATACTGACTTTCGCAACGCGATTTACATAGCGCCATTCGTAATAACGCGTATTTTTTTTCAAATTCCAAACATGAATTTTTTCTTAATAACTCGGAAACTGAACCGTCCACAGTAATCGCAACTCATAACCTCAAACCCAAAAACACAACACTCAGTCCCATCTCCATCTCTCACTCTCTACGGCGAAATCCGTCCCCATCTCTGAAGATTTCCGTCCCCATCGCCGGCGAAATCCCTCACAACCATTCACAGTCAAAAATCCCTCACAATCATTCAGAAATGGAAAATCAACATCCGAGGGTTAGTTTTTTTTATTTTTATTTTGAATTTTTTGCATTATTTTAGGTTTTTCATATTGAGATTGATGATAAGTTTACTGGTAATTTCAATAATAGATTAACCATTTCACTTAGATTTCTTATTAAATTCATTCGATTGCTGCCAATACTGCTAAACTGTTTAGCCTGTGAAGTTAGTATTTGTCTTTGCTTTGTCTTTTGGTTGAAGTAATGCAGAAGAAGAATAGTTTCGAGAATGAAAATCGCAACGCGGAAATAACTATCGCAACGAGATAATCGCAACGCGAAATAAAAATCGCAACGCGAAACCAAAATCGCATTGCGATTTTCATTTCGCGTTGCGATTTTCATTTCGCGTTGCGATTTTTATTTCGCGGTTGCGATTTTCATTTCGCGGTGCGATTGTCTGGTCGCGATAGTCATTTTGCGTTGCGATTCTCTCGTTGCGATAGTCATTTCCGCGTTGCGATTCTCATTATCTCGTTGCGATTTTCATTTCAACCAAAAAACAAAAACAGTGTTGCAAATTTTAGTTTCAAGAATAAACTACTATTTATGTTTATTGTTTTGTTTTTGGTATATCTTGACAGTGTAATTTTTGGTATATCTAACTTGGTATGTTTATTGTTTTTTTGTAGAAATTTTTTTCGGCTTCATTGACATTAAGGAATAAAGTTAGCCTAGCCACTACAATTGCTTCGAAGCTTTCACCTGCACAAAGAAAAATGTTTGAAGAAACCTGCTTCGGGCCATGGCTGAGAGTACAGCATCCGGGTGGAGATGCTAGTTTGACCCATTTGTGGCTTCAGACCATGACTAGCGATCTACCCGACAGTATACAACGTGGTGAGGAAGAGATATGGTTTCATTTTCCACCGGCGTATACTTGTTTTGGGCGGAAGGAGTTCTGCTTAATCACTGGTCTACGATTCGGACACGATGATGTAGGCCGGTACACTCGTCATATCACCCGCCCATCATGGTTATCCAGGGTTTTTCCTGATGAGTCAATAGAGAAGCCGAACTTACACGTCGACGACATGAAGAAATTGTTTAATAAGAAAGATGGTTTTACTCGGATGAATGACGTCGATGTTGTCCGAGTATGCCTTCTACTACTTTTGTATGCCGGCTTTTTAGGCAGAGAGGCCAGACAACCTATTCCTCAGGAGCTAATATTATTGGTAGAGGACCTAAATGCATGGAATCTGTTTCCGTGGGGTTCGTATATATGGAAAGCTACCTGGACTAAGTTGTCGTCTGCCTTTGATGACCGCAAAAGTTTGCGAGGCGATGGGTCGAAATACACTTTGTCAGGCTTTGTTTGGGCCTTTAAGGTAAGAATTTCTATATAATGTTTTCAAAATTATAATTAATTATTTAACAATTACTAATGTTTGTTATTATATTGTTTGTAGATTTGGATATTCGAGGCTTTCCCCAGCATGCAGACATATGCATTAAAATCCTCAGATGATATTCCTAGGGCTATTTCCTGGAAGAGGAAACGTATGTTGGATTGGGAAGACTTAATACCATATGCGACAATAAATAATGTAAGTTAACACAAATACTATCATATATAAACAAGTTATTAATTGTAGACGTTTAACTTTATTTTAGTTTTTATATTTTTAGGAGGCCAACACTCCATTAATGAGGCTGACACCCACGGAGGCTGAGCTTGCCACTGATTGGTGGCAAGCTAGTCAGCGTTTTTTTGATGGCACGAATGATGAGCAGCCTCCACTTCCTCCACTTCGAGAGCCATCACCTCACCCAGAGCCATCACCTGATCGACCCGACTATACACCTCTACAACGAGAGCCATCACCTATCCCGTCACATCATCGAGTCTCTTCTCCACCATCACCTCATGATAGGCGACCGACAAAGATGCCACGACTTCTATCTCACTGTTCTCCACCTCCACGGGATGAGTCAAGGGAGTTACGTGATGAGGTCAATGCCTTGCGTGAGGAGATCGGTACTCTACGCGATAACGATGGTGCATGGCGTGTGGAGGTGTCTACTTTACGTGGTGAGGTTGTCGCTCTACGTGAGATGGTAATATCGTTGCAGAATGAGGTTCATACTCTACGCAACGAGGTAAGTTTAAGATTTTCCATATTTAACTTGATGATAAATTTACTCGTAATTTCACTTAAATTAACCATTTCACTTAGATTGCTTAGTAAATTTATTCGGTTGCTGCCAAAACTGCTAAACTTTTTACTTTAACACTGTGAAGTTAGTATTTGTCTTTGTTTTGTCTTTTGGTTGAAAGTTTGAAATATATTTATCTTTGTTTTCACTGTTTAAATATCATGTCTGTTTATTTTCTGATATTTGTATTTTTATTTAGCAGACCGATAAGGTGGATGCTTTACGTCGGGTTTTTCTTGCACGACAGAGTTCACGCATCAGACGGCGTGCACGTGCTATTAAGTCTCCGTATACCCCAATAGTGCGAAGACACCGTAAGAAGAAGCCCGACTCGCCTATCATCCCTCAAGAGTCCACTCCTATCGTTGAAGAGGCCCCTATCATTCCTCGAGAGTCCCCTCCCACCGTTCAAGAGGCCACTGTCATCGTTGAAGAGGTCCCTCCCACCATTCAAGAGCCTAATTCACATGGCGTCATATGTAGGATTCTTGAGAAATCCTCTGACGTGCCGGACATGATGAATTCAAGTTGGCTCTCGTATGAGTTACCGGCCAGTACCATACCGGTATCTGAAGAGGAGAGGAAACAACTACCGGACACAATTCTGGATAACACTCTTTGGGCTAAGACCGCAGTTGATTT